AGAGAGAGAGAGAGAGAGAGAGAGAGAGAGAGAGAGAGAGAGAGAGAGAGACGTATCCACTTAAATTGACAGCCACACAGCCACTCACACACACACACACACACACACACACACACACACACACAGAGAGAGAGAGCACTTCATGATACAAGAAATGGGGATAAACTGACAACAAAGAATATACTATGAAAATAGAGCATAACATAACTAGTGGCAAAAAGCGTAAGAAACGAAATTACCCAATGCAACTAGGACGCAGCCATTATGTTTTATGTTCTTAAGTGAGTCACATAAATCCAACTCACTTTCCAAGGATCGGGAGCTTCCTCAACTGCATCCTAGAGAAGTTCAGTTTCCAAGCTAAGTTGTCGGCGTACCACGGGAGTGGGCTTGGCGGATCAACAGGTTCTCCATCCACCTGATCTTGTCAATAGCACACTCAACACACATTTAAGTCCAACAGCACAATTTACATTTGGCACAAGCGGCAAATCAAAATTAGACTCGTATAAACGAAATTACCGAATGCGACTAACGTTACTAAATTAGCAAATGCAACTGCGTGTATCACAATCCAAGTCACATCCCACTCACTCACAAAACCACCTACTGACTCACTGACTCGCTCTTAGATGGACACGAAGAAGTCACAACCAATCACTCACCCACTCCCTCACTCACCCACTCCCTCACTCACCCACTCCCTCACTCACCCACTCACTCACTCGCTCACTTACACACTCACCCACCCACTCACTCACTCACTCACTCACTCACTCACTCACTCACCATTCTTAAATGGAAGCGAAGTTTGACAAAGCTACTGTAGAACGTAATCACACCAGGCCTTTTGTGATTGGATGCGACTCGGACGAGTCTGCACTCTTGAACATTGGGCATAACATCCAAGAGCAGATACAGCAATGCCAGCCACCTGTAATGTGGCACATTCTAGCACAATGACCTGCCGCTCAGTCATCAGTGCTGTGTGATACGATCTGCCAGATTATCAATCTGTGAGATTATCTATCTGTGAGATCATCTATCTGATTTAGATGATGTATCTGTCAGATTACCCGTAGGATTATCTGTAAGATTATCTTTGTGAGATTATCTGTGAGATTATCCGCAAGAAGATCTGTGCGATGATCTGAGATTATCTGTGAGATGATCTGTGAGATAGATGATCTGTGAGATGATCTGTGAGGTTATGCATCCGTGAGATTATCTGTGAGATTACCAACCTGTGCGATTACCAATCTGTGAGATTCTGTTATCTGCGTGATTCTGTGAGATAATCTTACAATCTGTGAGATTATCTATAAGATTACCTGTAAGATTATCTGTGAGACTCTGTAAGATTATGTGTGCAATGATCTGTGAAATCAACTGTAAGATTATCCGTATTATTACTGTAATATTATCTGTAAAATTAATCTGTGACATCATCACCTAACTCCTAAACTTTCGGAGGCTGGGGACTACCAGACCACAATTGTTGGCGGCGCCAGCCAAAAAACGAAAAAGTGTGCCGCTGGCGGTTTGGCAGCAAAGCTTGGTGCGCAGTGCGGTGCTGCCACGCCCCCGGGTGTACTGGCCGTTTAACAGCGGAGCCTGTTTTTTTTTTGCCCATACAAGGCCAAAGATAGTGGGGGGTGAATTAAACAAACCAACAAAAGGAAGCCACTTTACCCCCCTTGTTTTTCTCTCTCCTCCATCCAGCCACTTTTTAAGCATCCCTACATCAAAGCTTGGCGCTGGAGTTTAGGGTTTAGGGTTTAGGGGTCAAGCAGTGCTGAGCAATCTTCGTGTACCGCTACTTATGAGCAGGCGTCATTTTCGTCTTCGAACACCCCCCCCTTAGGCCCCCCGCCCAAAAAAAAACGAAAGGAGGACGGCCTAATTAGAAAGCTTTGCTCATATACAATACTAATAATAGTAATAGTATATCGTATATAGTGTGTATATATATATATATATATATATATATATCGTCAAACAGAGCTACGCGGTAAACCGTAGGCAGAGAGGGAGAAGAGGACATCAAACGAGGGGTTGTGACAAACTGTTTCGTCGGAGTTTCACCGACTCATCAGGAGGCTGAACCCTCAACAATCTGCAGAATCCCCTAACTGATTACACTGTAAGTGATAATCCACCTGTACCCCGGCCGGTTGTGGTTAAGCAACGACTGCCCGACAAGTGATACTTTGAGGTGCGCACCAACCATTGCCCTCAAGGTACCTGTGACGAAAATCAAAGCAGACTATCACTCACCCACACCAGATGGAAAACTCTACAGACTGTTGGTTCACACCCCATCATAAGCAACAAGCAAAACACCCACGAAACAAAGAAAGGTCTGTCACAGCCAAAAAATACACTCCAGACAAGCCGCTGGCACTAGAGGCACAGCATGGCAGCGTAGTGACGGCCCCGACCACTGCCGCTTGACCTGACCGGAGAAAACTGTAGCATGGTGCTAGCGAACTCGTGGCAT